TTGAAGTTGAGAAGGGCAGTCCAAGCGTGAAAGTCGAAGTGGGAGCAGAAAAGGAAGACACCCACAGTCACAAAACTGTCGCCAGGGGTGCCAAAGACGGAGGAGAGCACAAGGATAAAGCTCGAAAATGGTCGTGCTTCGACTTATAACAACACTAGCAGCCGCTTAGGCTTTTGACCTAGGGTGAGACGGGAGCCTCCGGTCGGTCTAGCTGCATCAAACACTTGCGGCAGTCGCATATTGTGTTCTTCGGTACGACGATTCCATCGACATGAATTTTCTTTCGATTCTTATGTGCCCGGCAGAGTCAACTTGTCCGTTTATATGATACCATGAAATGCGCTCCTTTCTTTTTGAGGATGGCCTGAAGATACCCGTCATGATCAGACTAATCCTGGAGGAATTTCTGGGGTTGTTCGAAATTGTACATAGGAAGCCAGATCAGACAATGAGCTGTAGAACCCTGGTAACGAGACCATGCGTCTCTGGTAATTTCTTGTTCCCGTCCCTTATAAAAAGGTCGATTCGGCTTCCCTTCCATCGTGTGAGACCTCGAGTAGCATGATGGTCCAGTGCTTGCTGCTGAGCGTCTAAGTCAAGTGGAGGCGCAGGAGGCCCATCTGGGTCGCAGTCTGAGCCCTATGTGTGTGATAATGGAGCCTGCATATCGTCTCCATGATCGGTGTCTGCGCTTATTGCAGGCTTCTTGCTTGCACAAATCCAGGCTGAAGGCTGAGCATAGCATAAGGAATCAAGATACTCGGCCGGGGCTGTGGAGGGTGATGAGTCGTGCTCATGCATCTGTGCAACCTGCACCCTACAAATTCGTTGGGGTCTTGATCGGCATGCACTTCCTTCGAATCCCAAGCAGCAAAAAAGGTGCACGGTTCCGAGTGTGTCGGCAGAGATTGCAGCTTGATTGTATGGCTCAAATGAGCCTGAGGGTCCCATCTCTTCATCACCTCACAGCAAGTCAAAGTCATCCAGTTTTTCCCTGTACTCCAAAACCTGCCTCTTGACTTTACTTCCATCAACCCAGGTCACAAAGTCCTCCATGCCCCTGGAGACGAGGAACGCCGGGTCGGTAACCACTTCAGTGCCCACTCTTACATGGCCCTGTTCAACAAACTTGTGTGCCGTGGCGACATGTTCCACCATGCCGATGCGGACCATCACTATGCCCAGGCGGCGACGACAGAATGCGCTGACCGTCACGTCCTTTTCCACCGACGACAGCCCGGCGCCTTGGCTGCGGTTCTGCTTCAGGATCCCGATCTGGTGCAGTTTTTCAAGCATGACACTCTCCATTTCCACGCGGTACGGATCCGCGGGGTCGAGATTCGACAGCAAGTGCGCGAGCTGTCTCAGGCGACCGCACAGGGCATTGTATTTGGAGTAGTCGAGCGGGTGGGTGAGATGATATCGGCGCCGGATAGCGGCTTCACGGTGCGAGGGACCGTCGGATTTGTAGGTGAGGAGGTCGACTTTGCGGAGGAGCCGCTGCTCGTGGTGCTTGAGTTTACGGACCATGATTCTGGAGTAGGAAAAACCTGATGGGGGAGTGACGGTGAGTGTCTAAAGTGGTAGGGAACATTGTCCAAAAAAAATAATTTGTTTTGGAGAAGCAGCGGGGATTGGGCGGCCGCTTTAAGGCACTCACAGCCTCACACAATGCGACGAGGCTGTGGTCCATGGGGAGGCGTATGCCGACAACAGCTTCGTTGTAGAGCATACTACCTTGGTATTGGCTTGTGTCAACGATCAAAGAGCTTTCTTGTCAAATATGCAGCCACTGCCCTGATGATTTACAGCATGGTCCTATAAGCATGGTTGGCTTTGGAGCAGCGAATACTACCCATCGCAAGCTGCACTTACCGTGTACCTGTAGCCTTGTGTCTGGACTTCTACAATTAGGATTTTCTGTTCGAGAGCGACGAGCCGTCGAAAGGTTCAAAAAACAGGCTGTCCGTTCTTTACAGACCTCTGGAATCCTCTGCACTATCTAGGTGACCGCCCTAAGAGTCCCACATCTGGAACTTTAATAGATCGATGACAGTAGACTTTCCGCGAGATGAGTTTTGTAGAGATACGACACGGTGGAGACGATAGGTAGGCGACTGATCGACCTGTCTTTGGGACAAATCTGGGTGTTGATGAGATGATATTCTGATCAAGCGTTCACGACAATCTCACGGATCTTTCAGTTTTCGTGTCTTGTTGTGATGACAAGGGCGAGTGATTCCAAGTTGGTGATGGACTGACCAGCCACGAAAACTCGCACGGTGTCTGAGGTTCTGTGTCCACCAGACATTCGACTGGGCAGAGAGCCAGGACGGTGGGATTCATGCATCCGTACCCCGAGAATTTGTCCGATCTGATTGATCATGCCTTTCTACTGAATGGCATATCTATCAGTAGCCTATCCAGCTCCATCTTAAAGCCGAGGATATACGCTGACTTGTGGAATTTCTACACGAGAACGAAGGATGGCATTTGCCGTACGTTTGCCGCATGTCGCCTCGCTACGACCCAGGCACACAACTCCTATGGTTTCACCTTGTCTCATTTCCACCCCTTCTGGAGTCGAGTGCTCAGCTTTCAACGTGTAAAATTGGATGCCTGATGTTCCAGGTCCCGCATCGAACATCGAGCCAAAGAGGAGGGGGTGCGGAGTATCTGTCCGGGACATGGATCGTGCTGTGGGATCGTTGCGAGTTTATACCCTCGCTGACCAATTCATGGACAGAGGGGAAAAACTCTCCCGGACTTAAATTCTTCCTTCTCATTAAGAAGGGCCAGGCATCTCGTACATTAACTCAACACTCCTCAATAGAGTCTGAACAAACACTGTAACTACTTGTTGTGTGCGAAATCTCTAATCCATTGTGGAACCGCCAATCAAAACTCGCTACCATGAAGGCTATTGTGATGGATGGTGAGCCTGGAAAGGCGTCTTTCGTCACCGACCGGCCTCACCCAAAGCACAGGCCAGGATACGTCCATGTCGATGTCAAAGCGGTTGCGTTGAACCCTACCGACTGGAAACATATTGACTACATGAACGAGAAAGGTCTCCTAGTGGGCTGCGACTATTCTGGAGTGGTTGCAGAGACAGGAATCGGCTACTCAAAACAGTGGAAAGTCGGTGATCGAATCTGTGGCTTCGCGCACGGAGGCAATGAGTTGCAGCCTGAAGATGGCGCATTCGCCGAGCGCATCGCAGTCAAGGCTGATGTGCAGATCCGCGTTCCGGACAACATGTCGTTTGAAGAGGCCGCGACATTGGGCGTGGCTGTTATTACCTGTGGGCAGGGACTCTTCCAACAGATGGGCTTGGAATTACCCTCGCAGCCTTCTACCAAAGGCGAGTTCATCCTGATCTACGGAGGCAGCTCCGCGACCGGCTCCATTGGGATCCAATTTGCAAAGCTGTAAGTGCGAAATGCCATTGTGGGACTGGCTGGTGCTGACCTGATAGGGCTGGATATAAACCCATTACTACATGCTCTCCACGTAACTTTGATCTGGTCAAATCGTTGGGAGCAGTCGCCGCCTTTGACTACAATGATCCAGAGTGTGCGACCAAGATCAAGGAATATACCAAGAATGATCTCAAGTATATCTGGGATACCATCTCCCTGCCCCAAACAGCCAAGCTCTGTTCAGAGGTGATTTCATCTGGAGGGAATTATGGCGCGATTTTGAATGTCGAATTCCCCCGGACAGATGTTAAGACCACCTTCAATTTGGGATACACTGCGACCGGAGAACCCGTGAAGAAACGCTTTTTCGAGAGCCAAGACAACACCAAGGACTTCGAGTTTATGAAAAAGTGGATTGAAGAGGTCGAACCCATTTTGGAGCAGGGACGCCTGAAGGTTCATCCTCCCAAGGTGGGTAAGGGCCTCGAGCACGTCTTGGAAGGATGTGATTTGTTGAGACACGACAAAGTGAGTGGGCAAAAGTTGGTGTATGTCTTGTGAGGACGGGGAAGGAGATTCTTGTCGTCGGGTCAGGCTGAATGATTTTCCTGGTCGTCGTCGTCATCGCTAGCCTTGTCCGATGAAGGGGCCGAGGAGAGGGGTTGTATTTCCACACAATACCGAGTAATGATTTACAACAAAGTCAGCCTTGCTAGCGTCAAAAGCGCGAGGGAGGGTAATCCAATCTGAGGTCAACATGAGGGCGAATACCTTTTCCTGATTTCCACTGAACTGGGTGGGAGATTGATAGTCGCACTGCCTCGCTCGCAACTGGACGCGTGTTGGGATGATCTGTGCCTCGTACTCGGTAAATGTTGGCTGTGGTGTTGTGGTGCTTGCAGGTGTGGAGGAGATTGGGAATTGTCCCTGTCATTTAACGGTCAAACCAACGCAGAGTTGTCAGGATTTATGTCATTTGAATCTGTGCCTCCAGACGCCCTGGGCGGTGGTGCCGCCCCTAAACTCATAGACATCTTACCCGTAGCTGTCACTTTGACCACTGCGCGCACCCACTTGACACCCCCCAAGAGGCCCCGCCACCCCCTACGCCGTGCCTGCTCAAGTACCTGGCTTGTTTGTTATTGGGCACTCTAGCCTCGCCCTGCCAAGTTTGGGCTGCGGCCATCTTCCTTCCGCCCCATGACGCAGTCATCCTGCACCTGCTTTCACGCCCATGATGCCGCCATCTGCGGCCATGTTTGAAGCTTGCTGCTGAGCCATGACAGCAACCGTGGCTGTGACGCTGGATTCGCGTTCCAGTGACTCTGTTCTTGTAGTCATTGATCAATCTGAACCATTATCGTCAGGGCACGAGGAGATCGTCGCTTGACCAAGTCCTACTCATACCCATCACATGGCTGCGCATTTATCACTTTATCCCAGGGCCACGTAAACAGTTCCTGCTGGCAATTTCTTAACTTTTCCATGTGCTCAAAAGGTTCTTCTACTGTGCCCCGGAGATGAGTGCTTAACCTCCTTTCCCTCCTTCCCTTTGCTCTTGTTGGCCATCTGTCAAACATGTCTACCCACGATGTTGTCGCAAACGTGCAAGAGAAATCTGCGGACAAACCTGCGGTCGTCTCCGAGTCCAATGGCGATATCAAAGTCCCCAAGATCAGTGTCGATGCTCCGGCCTCACCAGGCGACTCGACACCGCCGGCGGGACAACTCTTGACGGGCAAACAAGAGCACTATCTTAAACGAGAACTCATCTCCCGCCAGGTCTCGGAAGAGATCACCGAATTGAGCAGTCCGACAGCCCTTCAACGCTTTGGTGCTCCTTTCCGTTCACAATATGGCGAAGTCTCCCCCATGGACTCTGAGTTGCCAATCCTGCGGTATATCTTTGTCAATCACGTCCGCAATTTCCCCTTCCTCGACCAGGCGAAAGAGAAGGAATTTTGGCAGGACAAGTTGCAGACGTTCCTTGAGTCCTTTGCCAGCAAATACATCTCTTCATCGGAAGACAGGCTGGAAGAAACCAAAAGGAGGAAGTTGGCAAGGAAGTCCGAAAAGTTGGTGGAGCTGATGATGGTTTCTGGTGTACCCACGGCCTCTGGTTATGAAGAGAGAATACGTTTCGCCGAGATGGAAGTTGTGGAGCGTGGCGCGAATGAACAAGGCCTGGTTGTGAATATTCCAGAAGGAAACTACATCAACAATTGGGATATCAATGTGGCTGGTGTGAGGATCACCTCAGTCAAGCGAACCGTTCGCTATCATCAGCACGCCGAGTTCCTGATACGAGTCAAAAGACCCGACCAGCCAGAAATATACATCGGAAGACGGTACGGTGATTTCGTAAAGCTTCACAAAAGGCTTCGGACTGAGATGCCGGGTAAGATTCTCCCACCTTTACCAAGGAAGAACAAATCCTCTACGTTCACGTCTGTTTTGCCGTCAGGTGATGACGATACTTCATCGGTGTCTTCTGTCTCTACTGGAGTCAGTGTAGAGGATTCTGGGAGGAATCTTCTCGTTCACCGACGTTTGAAGTCATCCAACTCCTTGAGTCCTAATCTCGGGTCCGGCTCACCCAAGTCATCAGCAACCCCGAGGAGTCTCTCCAGAGAAAGAGGAACCAGCCCAAGCCCGCAGACTGTTCGCCTACATCGAGAAGATCAAAGAGTCTCACTGCGAGCTTTCTTGAGGACTCTCTTGCAAAACCCCAATATTGCACAGTCGAAATCAATGACTGATTTCCTGACTCTTCAACCTATCAGTCTCAACGAAGAGGAACTAGAAGACATCGAACGACGAAAAGAGATGGACGCAAGGCGGTTGGAAGAGCAGAGGAAGTTCTACGATATCGCCAGGAAACGAGCGGCAGAGCTTGACACCTACATGGAGAAATTCCGAAGAAATATCGTCGAGGCTAATGGCTTGACCAAACTATTCGCTGAGATACGAAGCAAAGACAAGCTTGCAGATTTAAGCCCCGAGTATCAAAAATTCGCAGAATGGCTCAGGATAGAAGTGGCAGCCACCATCTACCATCTATTCCTGGCAGAAGATAACTCCCCCGAGTTGTTTGCCCAGGCGAAACGAATACATTCTCTGGTGCCGTATACGGTACTGAAGAACGTGATTCGAATAGCAAACCCTGCAGCAGTCATGTCTGGTGTCCTGGATCTCTTTCTGGCACAACCCTTCGGCGCAAGATCACTATTACAACGAATTTTTGCCCAGACCCTGGCAGATGGAATCCGACAGTTCCAGAGATCTATCGATGGTGTCGCCGGACAAGTGGGAGACCCAGTCTTGGTCAACAAAATCAAAGCATTCGTCGACAGTCCCGAAGAAACCAAGAACCTCCTCCGAGCAGAGGCGGAGACAGAACAAATTGACCTTGTCGTGGCGATTCTCAGGTCAGAACAATTCGAACCTGAACTTACGCCGCCACAGATTCAACGGGTCTACAACGCATGGGTAGCGTGGAACAGTGCAGTGGAAAACGAAGACGAAGAACTTAAACAAGGGGCTGAAATGTTCTCACACCTCAAGCAGCTTCTCAAGTTAATGACTCGGCAACGTGACAAGGCCATGATGGCAGCTATGATCGAGGAGCCTAATACTCTCCAGCTGTTCCGTGATCTATTCACCATATTCTACGAACCTTTAATCCGGGTGTACAAATCTGCAAATGTTTACAACTCCATCACGGACTTTGCGCGCTTCGCCGACGACGCCATCAAAACGGTCGAAATCGCACAGAGGCAAGACGTGTCAGCCGACCCAAATCAGACTGTTCAGTCCTTCATCGATCTTTGTGCTAGACACGAAGATAACTTGTATAAATTCATCCACGAAGTTCATACTCATGATAACGGCCTCTTTACCGCCTTGATGGGCTGGATTGAGGGCATCCTCGAGTTCCTCCGGAAAGGCCCCAGGAGCGGCGGGAAACTGGATATGAATGCGATCTTGCAAGGGGCGCTAGACATGGGGGCGGTGGACAGGGAGATCATAATCACAGAGGTCGATGAGTTGATCAAGTGGCAGGAGGCGCGAAAGAAATGGCATAGCGATAAGACGAGGCAGAAAATGGCCGCCGAGGGAACAGGGTCTGCCAATTCTTCAGAAGCAGCCACGGGGATGCCGGGGGCCAACTTCCGGAGTAGCGATTTCGGATTGCATGAGGTGAGTTTCTCTTCCATTCCTGACTTGGTTGCCGCCTCTTCAAAAGGTTGCCGCCTCTGATACTGGATTTATGCTGACGATTTTGGTAACGTTGCAGGGCGATCTAATGGACCTCAGCATTTCCGACGAAGAGGATGACCTTGACTCTGAAGAAGAAGATGCAGAAGACGATCTCGACCCTCTCTCGGCTGAACGTCGTCGCCGTAGAAAGGCACAAGACAGGCTGAGAAGGAGCGCCGGCGAGCCTGTCAAGCCGGAGGTCAGCGAGGTGCTGAAGCTACGCGAGTCATTTGTGGCAATGCTGAGAGCTGTTCTGAGTGATTAAATGGGCGACAATGGGCCGACCATCAAGTCAGAGGTGACTAGCATGGTTGGTCGTGGTCTGCATTGAATGGACCGGTCTTAAAGGCAAGCATAGAATACCCCTGGAAGCCTGCTACGCCGGGCATATGCGGAACGATCATGAACGCGTGGATCGTGGTACACGTTACATATATCTGCATTCTGTCTTTGAACATCCTCCTGCTGTCCCCGTAAAGAGCCTAGTCACATTGTAAGAAGCACAGAGGAGGTGTCGATAGTTTGCTACCCAACAAATGAGACGACGACTGTCCCGAGTCGTGGGATCAGTTTTAGAAATCTAAGCTTCAAGCTCTAAGTCGGGGGAGAACAGAGACCATGAGACCAGCTAGCTTATCGGCGTATACTGCCTATCAAACATGTGTACAAGCACTTGTACTCTCGTCAAAGAGCCGGTCTATTCATCTTCCGCTGCCGGATATGTACCTGAGGCACGGGAGAGGGAGAAGCAAAGATCGAGATGAAGATCGACAATGGATGGCAATGACCGAGTGAAAATGGTACTGGAACAGGAAAGCGGCACGGGGCGTGTGTGATGTGGTCGATCATGTGTGGGAGGAGACTCACCAGCCGATCCAAAGAGACAGCCAATTGATCAAGAACAACATGACGAACGACGAGAACCTTGGTCGCACCCACGGCGCACAAGTGTAATGCCCATGTGTGAGCTCGTGGACTTATTCGTCACTGAGGGCAAGAAGAATTCGGCTGGCTTGCCAGGCTGTCTGCCGCGTGACGATTCCAAGGATACGAAGACCCTTGCGCAGTATCACCTTGACCTCACGGCTGTTCATTCATAGACGCCACTTCCTCTCGACTTGTCCTATCAGGCAGGGCTGGTGTCGTTGACGGCCCATACATCGAGTGCTGGACCTGTGGTTTCAAGGCTCTGACATGTGCTCCTCTCGGCGAGTCTGTTGAGATAGTATGTTTCAAGCCAAGTCCACATTCATCTCGTGCTGGTGTCAAGCCAGGCAGACATACGCCAGACGAAGCTCGACGAACATGTGAACTATCTGATGGATTTTCCTCCAAGTAGACGAATCACAAAATTCCACAGGGAAAACAAGGCTGTTGGCGAGCTTGATTGGCCGCCACTAGGGAAATAATCAGCGGCTCGAGTCAGGGACTGAAGATTGATATGGTGTCTCATTGGGCGAGACTGTGTTATTTTCCGGAAATTCCTGGTAGATGATTGGAGATGAGGACAAAAGGAGCTACAAGTACAAGTCCCAAGTACGAGATAGACTCGGAGCAATTTGGTAATCAAAACTATGGTAGCCGTGGTGTGAGTCGCGTCTGCGACGATCGAAGGCGGTCGAGGGACTTGAGGACTCGAGGTTGACCCGACGAGAAAGGTAGTAGGAAGTGTTGCAACGAGGGAGATTGGGGCAGGCAGGGCATCACGCAACAGCGCATCCGGAGACGATGGCCTGATTGGGCTGGTTATGGTGATGGAATTTTTAAGCGAAGGACTTGTGGTGGAAACGCATGCAACGTCGCCGCTGACACATGAACCCGGGTGAGGTGGAGGGAGAGGAGGCGAGGACGAGAGAGGATACCTTGCGTTGTAACGGGTTAGTACAAGGCCCCGGTAGGTCCGGCGCAAGAAAGAGAAGGACAAGAAGGGAAAACAGAAGAGAAAACTGAGGTGGCAGGGCAGCGGAAGGCAGGGAAGTCCAGGGCCGCGCAGGATGCGGTGAAAGCTGCCGAGCAGAAGAGCGGAAGCCCGGTCACATGATGTGGACACAAAGGTTTTTTTTTTGCTTCTGTTGCGTCAGCCCTGCAGCCTGCGCCCTTCTGATGGCCCTTGGGATGGTTATCTGTGCGAGGTGATGATACAGCGGAGGGATTCGTAGCGAGTGGTGTGTCGTTGTAAGGAGTACAGGTATAGTAACAAGTATACAGTCAAATTGCAGTCCAGTCCTTGATTGCGAGGCACTCGGTACTTCGGTACAACGACTTGACACTGATTCAGCTTCCAAGTTTGTTGAGGAAAATCCTGTGTACAAAGCTAGTCCCATAATGGAATAGCCCGGCCGTGGACCCACCGGGTCACGAGGATCTTCCTTGGTTGGCTCTTTGTCTCGACCAAGCAAATTCAAGCGAGCAGAAAAACCTTGAGACCTTGAAGTGACTTTCGTAGTAGACAGTAGTACGCACTTCGGACAGTAGTAGTGCGAAGTGTTGCTTTTCTTTTCGGGGGGCCCTGGTACCCTGCAGCTGGTCGCCGAACATCCCATCCCCCCATTCTCAAGGGAAACAAACCTTGGAACCGAGTCAACTGAGCACAAGCCGCGCCCCCTCAGCCGCCCACTCATCCTCTGGCTTTTTCCTCCCTCCCTTTTGTATCGCCCAATCGCCCCTCGTCTGCTGGTTTCAACTTCACCTCCTTCACCCAATCACCCAATCATCCTCCAGCCGGGCCGACTACTCTGTCGTCTTGCCAGTCCACTCACCACTCACACATTGTCTTTGCTCGCTACCGCAAGGAGCACGCAACGCACGACATCATCTCCGCCGCTTTGCTCTTCAACGTGGGGCCGCCCAGTCTCACGAGTGCGCGAGTCGAATCAAAGGGTGATCAAAAAAGAAAAGCAAAAAGCCCCGAACCAACCCGAGGCCAGGCGGCTCTCCAGCCTACCTACCTAAGCCTACCAAACACACCCAAAGCTCAGCCAAAACGTGTGGCCGAATCATCTCCCTCGTCGCCCTCAACCTGGTCGACTGCATCATCAAATTTGATTCGACTGCTCTCTCCACGATCCACGTTGCTGGTAAACATTCACCACCTATCACCATTCACCCTCAACTCGATCCCGTAGAGCCTTGCGCGCATCGAAGCATATTGAAAAAAAATAAACACATCAATAACTACGGTGGACAGAAGTTGCTACACTGCTGTACTCGTGTATGCGCGCACGCCGGCGGGTGATCTCATCACCCCCCCCCCCCCCCCCGAGGACAAGCGCAACAAGCCATCCATCAGCCCGACAAGCCATCAACACAACCCCCCTCCCACCTAACCCCAGTCACCTAGGCCAGCTCTGCAATCTGCAAGCCCACCCACTACTGCCATTACTCACCGCGGTAAATCTCCCGCCTCACCGCTGGCAATCTATCTATCACAACACGCAAAATTGACTGACACGCATCACCGATTGACTGACCGACCGCCAGTCCCGTGTCCCCAAAAAACACAGTCCTCCACCGCCGCACTTCCCGCTACCGCCATTGACAGCGCTTCAACCCCAGCCGCACATTATTTGGCAAAAACTCCCACGTCACTGTCGCTCTGTAACAATCGCGAGCGCATCAAACTTCGATCTCGCTCGGGGTCTGTCGTCTCTTGTATCAAGAACGCGTCGGTGACCAGCTTCATCCTTGTCGCGGGCGCAGAAACCGGCCTCTGCGCATCTCGCGCCAACTAGAATCTTGTAAATTCAACCAGCTTCATTTTGTGGGCAGCAACTTTGATCGGGCTGTCGCATCACTTGGGCACGACCCGTGGTTGTTCCGAGAGACCACAACAGATCCCACAAATCTTCCCCTCTCCAACAAGACCAGAAATTTCATCATCTACAAGAATAGATACTGGCTGGCCGTCTCCGGGTTTGCCTGTTGACAGTGTGGGACGGAACTAAGAGGTGAGTGCATGGAGTTGCCAACACATCACTGCATGCGCGCCTCCAATCGATTGCTACATAACCATTCCCACCCGACCCCATCCTCCAATAATCGTCTTTGCGCTCTACCAGAGCCAATACTGATTCACACTGTCCTCAGTACGTAGTCTGGCAATCGAATCGCAGCTTACCTTCCTTCCGCGCCCTCGAATCATTCCTCTCAGACGCCCGCAATCCAAACAAATCCATTCCAGCCTGCGGCGCGTCGCATCAAAGCTTCGGGAAAACGGGAAGCACCGCCAAAAACATCGGCGACGACGAGGAACGACAACAACGTTGACCGGCGGAGCAAGCAGGAGAAAGAGCTGGAAAAAACAGTGCCTGCTGCGTGACGTCCTCAAGTCAGGCATCCTCGTCCCGCGCCACATTCTGCTTCCCTTGAGAGCAGAAGTGACAACTCATCAACAGCGCTAGACCCCAGCTTCTCCTGCAAAGAAGCCCAATCTGAGGCGAACTCAGCCCGGGTGTCGACGGTTGCAGCAACATCCCGGACCCTATCTCGCCTCATTTGTTGACTTGTCTTTGTCAATATAGTGAGTGGACCGCTGGGTTCGACTCCTTCGACAATTCTCAGACCCAGTCTGTTCATCATCTGCTCTATCACCAGCGAAGGTCAGTATTGGTGCTTTGCCGGCGATCCAGTGACCGCCGTGAGCTGCGCTAGCAACTAACGCAAGGAACCAGGCTCCAACCTACCGCTGTTAGACCCTCCTATCAGAGTGTCGAGGCGCCGTTGTTGCAACATTTCAAGGCACAACAGCCCCCAGAGAGCGCGTCTCAGCTATTCGACCATCACCTTTTGCGGCCTTGCTCGACCTCTTAACTGCCCAGCTTAGCCTCCGGAGACCTGCGTCCTCCCGTACGCGCGACAGCTGAGGCGATCCAAGCAAGTCCATTCTCTGCGGGCCGAGAACCTTCTCTATCTCTGCAGCCCCGAAGTCCATCACCAGTACTGAGCGAGACGTGCCATCTTCGTAGCGAAAGACGTGTACATGATGGAATATCCCCCTCAGTATCAGCAACACACCCAGCATCCTCATATGCAGGGAGGTTATCAAACGTCGCCTCAGAGTGCCGGTCCCGGTTCGCTCCAGTCTCCATCCGGCCCTCAATCGCATATGCAACAACACAACCCCAATCAAGCCTCTCCCATCCTCCCTTCCCAAAGCCAGAATCACTACCAACCTCAGTCGGCTGGTGGTGTCCATCAATCCATTGCTTATCCGCAATATGGTGTCGGTACGGGGATGACACAAGGTTATGGCATATCGCCGACTCA